AAAGTTCGTTCTTTGGTGGTTGATATGCTTACCTTTCGCACAGACAGGTCCGGTAAATTTCGTTCTTTGTTGGTTGATCTGCTTACCTTTCGCACAGACAGGCCCGGTAAAGTTCGTTCTTTGTTGGTTGATATGCTTACCTTTCGCACAAACACACTCGGTAAAGTTCGTTCTTTGTTGGTTGATCTGCTTACCTTTCGCACAGACAGGTCCGGTAAAGTTCGTTCTGCTACAATCACAGATAAAGCGATTCCAGCCTTCGGTACAGAATCCTCCATTTAAGCATGGCTGGCTATCACACAGGGGAGGCGATGTGTGACAGACTGGGCGAATACTGCCCGAATCTTGTTTCTGGACGAACAGGGCGATATCCACTGGATTGTCGTTTACCATGAGGTCTCTCATACACCCTACATAACCATACTGCAATTTTCCCGACCAGAATTCAAGTGGAATAGTCCTTCCTTCCCTATTCATCCCCACTCCTCCGAGATATAGAGGGCCTTGTAAGTCAAGTTGATTAGAATTGCCTGCAGCCCAACAAGAAATTTCAAAACATCAGATATAACTTCTAAGTTAGAGGATCTCAACAACTCATGAAAATCTCCTAACCTGATCATCATAGATTAGTGTGAATTACAGTAATATACATACAGGGGAAGTCTCTTAAGGTCTACATTGAGAAATTTATAACTATACTATTTATTAAAAAATAAAACGAAGTGGTAAGGAAAATTTCTGTGGTGTATAATGTTATATTTACAGATAAATTAAACGCTGATGCAATCAAATTAAAGAACATAGCAATTGCATTCATGTTTGAATATATTTTATATATATGTTTTTATACGATTACGCAAACACAATTCCTTCCCTGATTTTTTTTATATTTATTGCTTGAGAAGCATGTGACATGTACTTTTGGATGTGATTGGTTCAACATATCATTACCACAATAAATGTTACGGAAAAAAACGTTTACCTTGCACAAAAAACTCAACAGAATATTCGTCTACAATCACTCGTCCTGATGTGCTCTTTCTTGTCAAGGAGATCGAGTGCCATTGACCATCGTCTACTCGACGAGTAGTGGCCTTTACTTTTACCGATCCCGAACCTAAGTTTAATAACAGATACACGTGACCTGCCAAAAGCTCAAAGGCAAAGAAATCTCCTTGTTCGGTGGAGCCGCTGTTGTACATGAGGACACCATTAGGTTCGTTGGTCCTGATCTTAAAGAATATCGATCCTCTTCGAGGTGCCTCCCAGCAGGGAAGTGCCTGCAACAGGAAGAAATAAATCGCACTGAAATATGTAACCAGAGTTTCGTTCAATTGTAAAAACTGGAAGCTAAAAAGACTAACCTCGAAATGTTCGGATTTCGTTTGTTTGTGTTTTTAAAAATTGGCTATCCGCACATAGTAGTCCTAATTTTCAATCGATAAACTAGAGGGAGAGGCAGCTAGTTAACAGCACCTACCGCTAACTCTTGGGATACTCTTTTCTTTTCGAATAGTGGGATTTAACGGTATATCAATTATCTCATTCACGGTATAAAAGTCTGAAGTGCATTTATTTGGCAACGGGACGCGAACAAAAAACCATTGAATGTATAGTCTGTGCAAACTAATTATTGGGTCGTCTCTTACAGATTATGCGTCTCTTTAACTTTAATTAATTTAATCATTCATCATACGTGATAGTGAAATATGATGAGTGTGAAGAAATGTCCATTATATGACTAGGGCTAGAAAACATTTAGTGTTAAGACTTTTCGGCTGAATATGAAAACAGATATTATGTAGTAGAAAAAAAATCACAAAGCTTGATTTAGAAGGATTGCAGGGAAATACGAGTTTCAGCAAACTTGATTCAAACGGGAGGTAGGGAAATAAGCGCTTCACCAAATATAATTTAGAGGGGTTGTAGGGAAATAAATTTTTCTTAGGAGAAAGATTCCACTAGCTGGGTGAATAGTCTTACAACGAACTCCACTCGTTGATCACAATGAAACGCAACATGAAAATTTCCCAAAAAAAAAAAACTCACCAAGAAGAAAACCGGAATACACGTACTGTGAAACTCACCGAGAACGAAACTGGACTATACTGAACATGAAATAATATAGCAATGTGAAACTTACCAAGAAACCCACCAGTCTACAGATACTATGAAACGCAGAGAAATGCGCCTACAACCCGGACTTCACATCAATTAAACTCTGGTTGTATTTACCATTGGAAAATAACAGAATTCACTATCACCTCTGACTATCATTTCTCTGAAACATCTATATCTTGTGACAACTCAGCTGTTTTACTTGTTGGTTTGTCTTTTCGAATTTCTGGCAAAGCCACTCGATGGCTATCTGAGCTAGTTATCTCTAATTTTGGAGTGATAGGCTAGTAGGAAATGAGCTAGTCAAGAACACCCACCGCCAACTCATGGGCACAATTTTTGCCTAACGTTTTATAAAACGATAATATCAGAACGTTTTGATATATCTTGATCATTTCCATAACAAATTCAATAATAAAATACATTCAAAATAGAAATGATATCTGCGAACGAGCTTTAGAATAGTAGGATATACCACAATTTGAGCTATTTACAGTAATCTCAACATATGTATGTGTGGCCCCAATTTTGTTATTTTTTAATCACTCGATCATTGTCTCAAAAAGACGTTCTTTACCATTTCAGGTTTACTTTCAGAAATATCTTAAACTCTTTTTACAGAGAAGCCTGGTTGGTAGGACCAATACCGTGGTATCTGTTAAATTACGTTCTATAGAAAAGTTTTACTTTATACTGAAGCAAGACAGCTATTACTAACATTGTTGTCGTTTTGCTTAATAAATCTTATCAAACCTAACCCTTATGATGTGGTAAAAAAAGACAGAAAAACACTAAGTTTATTGAGTATCCTAAAGATGTGGAACATAATACTTGAGAGTTTCGAACTTTTGAAAGTAAAAATCACCAGAAATGACTCCATAGTAGTGAAAGTGATGGGATCAGCTGCCTCAACCTCGTGACATACAAATTGAAGGTTTCCGTGGGGACGTATGAGCATACTTCCTCTTTCAGCAAGTTCGATCAAATCCAGACTTAAACTGTCTGCTGTGAAGCGAGCCTGCAAGGAAATATGATGACTTTTAGTGTAGGCTAATACACTAGTTTTATAAAACATTTTATAACAGTTACTACATAATCTAGGCTTATGGAAAATAATTATCAATAAGAATATTTTAGACATGCGTAGAGCGTTACAAACGTCACCACAATACCATAGTTAAGGAAACATTTGTGAACTATCAACAAAGGTGAATGTAGCGTTACAAACTTTACAATAATGCTATACAATAAGCATACATAGATGAATTGTTAAAATGCCATATAAAGGTGGATGTAACGTTACAGACGCTACAGCAATACTACACTAGTATCATTAAAGCGTTACAAACTTTACAATAATGCTATACAATAAGCATACATAGATGAATTGTTAAAATGCCATATAAAGGTGGATGTAACGTTACAGACCCTACAGCAATACTACACTAGTATCATTAAAGCGTTACAAACTTTTAAATTATAATGAACAAATATTATATCAATTACATAATACAAGAAAGTCACGTATAATCAAAACATAAGAAATCTGATAACCTCTCAGATGGTAGACCTTCAGGGTTGAATTTATAATGACACAGCGAAAATAGGGTGTCATAGAATACTGATATGTGTTGACCACTTCCGGTAAATTCAGTCAGCCATCAACCATGATGTGGTTGCTTTCTACATAGATTCCGAAAATCTCCTTTTTTTGTATCTTACAAACTGTATTTTCATGTTATTTTACGTAATTTTTGTATTTACAGTTTAAGTTCGTATTTTGTTTTCAGATCGGTAAGTGAATGAAGGTTTACTTTGCGCAGACATCCAACGAAACTGACTTGTTCCTGTATACCAAGATGTCCGTTAGCTATGTCACTGCCCCCTAGATAAAGCTGCTTGCTGGACAAGAAGACAAAGGTACCTGCTGTAGACCCTCGCTGTGTGTAGACACCATCAACAGCAAGAGAAAGCTAAATAAAGGAGAAAATGAAAAATATATTTGGTGACGATAAATAGAAAATATACCTTGGGAGATAAGTTAACATTACAAGGCTTTAGAGAAGTGAATCTTAGTGTTTCTTGAATACAACGACCTACTAGAGTGGATAGTTTATCCTGTTTACGTTTTAGTTAATTATCACAAAAACGGATACAGCGCGGCCATTATGGACAAATGAGCGGGAAACTACTTCAGCAAGACGGTGACATTATGATCTTCAGGAAATCGAACATTAAAGCTACGCTCACTTCTACACTATTCAGAAGTGCATCAAGATTATAGACTTTTTATATACGATAATTAATGTTCTATATAAATCTGAAGTATCAGAATAAATGTTAAAGTTGTTCCAGTGAATTCAAAACTCGTGTCATATCTCTAAGTAAAAATATTTGTGTCGGAAACACGTTAACTTTCTATTCAATCGCTTAAAGTATATAATAAAGCTATTTATCACCCCGATGGTCCAGCGATAAGCTTGAGAGGTTATAACACTAAAATTCTGGAACGATCCCCGATGGGCACAGCACACGTAGCCCATTGTGCAACTTTGCGCTAATTTAATCTCATGGAAAACATAATGTAATCTAATCTTAAAAAATAATTTGCATCTGATTAGTAAAGTTTGTAAGTGAGAAATTATCTTTGACCACGTCGGTGTTCTGTGTTCAATAGTCGATGTAATCTCGAGAGCCAATCCTTCGGCAGGCTCAATCGTAGAACGTTCCTTTCACTTTGTCAGGATATTACATGAAACATTGACAGCTTCCTGCCGATTAAATCTACTTTTTACATTTAATGTAAGTCTATCTAATGCGTATATGTCTAGACATTGAGACGGAAAGATACTTTACACTATATATGACACAACATAGCACGATACGTTCTTGAGTAATGGACTCCAATTCATTTTCTGTTCATTTAAACCAAGATTATCAAAATGATATCCTTTAGTGTAGCTGAATATTATCAAAATGATATCCAGTTCATTTAGTTGAAAGCTGCCAAAATTATATCATGCTCGTTAAATCTGATATTACCAAAATGATACCCTGGTCGTTTAGCTGAAAATTACCAAAAATGATATCCAGTTCATTTTGTCGAGGATTACTAAAATGTTACTCGTTAAGTTGAACGTTACCAAAATATTATTCTGTTCGTTTAGTCAAAGATCATAAAATTATATAGTCGTTTTTATGGAATGGTTAAAGATTCCAGATCTCTTATGTCTCAGTCTTCACCAGGTCTCTATTATGTCCCAATCTTTCTGTGACTGAGGATTGTATGTCTCTTTTACTAGCTTTTAAGCTCCCCAGTGGCGCAGCGGTATGTCTGCGGACTTATACTGCTAGAAACCGGGTTCAGATACCCGTGGTGAGCAGAGCACAGATAGCCCTTTGTGCAGCTTTGTGCTTAATAACAAACAACAACAAGGTTTTATGTGGTTAAAATTTAAAATACCTTATAAATTACAATAAACACGGTTTCGACAATATTAGGCCTATATTAGATAAAAAAAAAGAAGTTGGAGGGTATGTGTTTGAAAAATAATAAATACTTACGTGACAGAAGCTTGTGGCATCTGTGATCTGACGATAAGAAAATATTTTCATCACTATTGTAGTAATGCTGTTAGATACAACAATATACTTATACAATTTTAACAGTTTATTGTAGTAAGTCTTGTTAGATACAATAATATCATTTTCACATTTTCATCAGTGTATTATATTAATTCTGGATAGATACAATAATATTATTTATACATTTTTCTTATTTTTTAGAGTAATTCTGAATAGATGAACAATATCATTTTCACATTTTTGTCAGTTTATTGTAGTAATATTGATAGGTACAACAATATTATTTTCATAAGTATATTGTAGTACTTCTGGAAGATACCCACGTTACTAAGGTTAAAAATGGATATTGGTTTCCGACTGACAATTCAAAAGTAATAAAAAAATGCAAACAATTAAGTATGATGTAGGAATGGCAAGGCCAATACGTACATAAACAATGTGTGGATGACTACACAAACATAAACAATGTGTGGATGACTACACAAACGTAAACAATGTGTGGATGACTAAACAAACATAAACAATGTGTGGATGACTATACAAAAATAAACAATGTGTGGATGACTACACAAACATAAACAATGTGTGGATGACTACACAAACATAAACAGTGTGTGGATGACTACACAAACATAAACAATGTGTGGATGACTACACAAACATAAACAATGTGTGGATGACTACACAAACATAAACAATGTGTGGATGACTACACAAACATAAACAATGTGTGGATG